GATGTAGAACTTGGTATCTTGAATATTATAAAGAAATGCTATCTTGCACATTGCAAAGAAAAGCAAATATGTAAATTTGCACATCTTTAAATTTGCTAGCTTGTATGTAGTCAAACTTGCATATCTAAAACTTGATAGCATTAATGTTCTAAGCATGATGTAACACTTGCTAAATTTTCTAGTTTCAAATTGCATGATGATAAAACTTGATATTATATTTTTCATGCAATGAGTTGAACTTATATTTCCAAACACATAAATAGTTGGACTTCTCCTTTTTGTTGATGACAAAGGGGGAGAAGTATGTTGATGTCATGCATGATTTGATCATGACATATTGCTTGGATTTTTGAATCCAAAAGTTTCTATCAATACGGCATATTGATATTGGGAGTTTATTTAAACTCCGAGAGTTAAGGTTAACTCCATCATCAATTGGTTGTCATCATCAAAAAGGGGGAGATCGTTGAATCTCGTATTTTGATGATGAAACTAATTGATATGTGTTTATGTTTTAATCTGTGTTTTGAGTGACGTAAGATGCTCCAATTAGGATGAGACAATTAAAGTAGGAAAAATTATTTTGTGCCGGGGGAAAACATGTCAGAAGATTGGACGTCGAGTCGGAGGAACGGTCGACATATCGATAGAAGGCTTCGGGCCATGGATTCGGGCATCGGGCTAAGAAGAATGGATATTGTGCCAAGGATATCGGAGTTATGGAGTCAATTGGCTGATTGGGCAATAGGCCGCAAGAGAGGACGATGCGTCAAAGATTTGGACGAAGCGTCGAGGGACCAATGACATGCCGGACAACTTGATTAATGCTTAGTATTAATTGTCTAGATCGAAGTATGTTTTACATGTGCAAGATTAACTACGATAGCAAGGCATGTAGCAAAATGAAGTCCCGGAGTCAAGATCGAGATCATGTTGGGAGTTTGAGAGTTTGTCGGAAGTCCGGACGTTCGTCGGAAGTTATGTCGGAACTAGCCGAGAAGTCTCGGAGCTTGCTAGAGAAGCTCATCAGAACTCGCTAAGAAGATCGTCGTGAAGTCCAGGAGCTTGTCGGGAGTCCGCCAGAACATTGCCGAGAGATCGTCGGAAGTTCGTCGGAAGCTCGTTGGAAGAATAGACATAGGGACTTGTTTAGTTTAGCAAATGTCTTAGGATTTCGTAGTTAGCATATAATTTGGCTTGGATTTGGGCCAACCCAATTAGAGGCCAGCTAGGCCCATGTAAGAACTGTGTTGGGCCCAATAAGAGGCCCAAACAGTGCCCCAAGAAGTCTCACCGTCGTGACACAATCTTCGAACTGTGTCAGGCGATGGTACCGCTAGTCTGGACGATTGTACCGCCCCTAGCAGGGTGCCAAGCGGTGGTACCGCTAGTCTGGGCGGTAGTACCACCCAGCATTGCCCCCCAGGCGGTGGTACTTGTTGGGAAATCTTGGGGGCGACATCATATGCGCA